TATTTGAAAGCCTTATTGTGAAGAACGGAGTAAAAATGGGAGGGAGAGAGACTTGGTGGTATCCTCTTATAATCATTCGGAGGCGCATACATCTTCAGATACTTATTTGGACGATGAGGGAACCCCCATTGAAGTGGACTAGAAGCCACTTGCACTAGAGGGTCACGTGGTCGCCATTATAGGGGGGAAGCCAGTCGCACCGAGGTAACCCAGACTCTTCGCAACCGATTGCACTTCCAGCTACCAGGTCAAATGTTGACCACTGCTTTCATCCACCCACCACCAATTGAGCACATAGAACAGTACTGTTTTGGGCAAACAATAAGCCGGCTTGAGTAATACCTCACCGTCGCTTCTGATGTGGGACACCTTCTTCGATTGAAGTCCCTGCTGAACAAACAAGCACACTTTCGAGGCTCATACGAGTTTTCGCTTTCGGACAAGTTTGGAAACAATCGGTAGTTTTATTGCTGGGTGGCGTTTAGCTTGTTAAACAAAAGTTTCGTCAGACCAAGTGACTGAGTGACGAGGTTGGTCGAGATCTAAGGCGGAAGAGGAACCAGTCAACAAAGTCAAGCTAAATCCGTGTTAGGTTTTGGCCAAAGGATTTTGAGCGCTGAGTGTTAGGCTGCATGACCGGATTCCGACAAAATATTCCATTACAACAGAAGAGGAATTTAATTGGATGTTTGATTTGAGTGAGAAGACAATAGGGGTATGTTCCATGACCATCTGCAGGGGGAACTAAAACAGTTCAGACTACAAAGCTGAGAACTAAACAAGATTCAGCTGAGGATCGGCGTGCCTACTCTGAGCTGTCTATTACACGAGACACGGTCTCTTACCTGTTTAACAAGAGAGCAAGGCACTCTGCCGGTGTGACTTATACAACCGTTAACCCCTAATCATTCATATATGATATTACGCTTGACAACGCAGTCGGCTAATGGCGTTCTGCGCATATCATTTCGACTAGTGGTGAATCTTTTTCAACCAAATTGCCGACGGCTGGTTAAGTCACCAACACAGTAACCTGCATTCTCTCCTTCATTACAAACACATCAGTTCAGTTTGCCATATCTACTTAGCAACGCCCTCTGATACGTAGAATTCAAGACAAAATCTCGCGAATTAAGCTTGCCGTTGCTAGTGTAACTAGGCTATGAATGAACACTACAGCTCTGACAAATCAACAGCGGAATAAGTTCCACAACGTCCCCGTTTCCCGCAAAGTCATCTTCCTGAGTTCCATGATATGATGTCCCAGCAGCAGGCCTTCTCTCATCAAATTTTAGCCTCGAATCTCATCGTCTGCATTCTATCCAGTCGGCTGCTGTTTTTCGTTTCATGTCAGTCAACGAAGTGAGTAATTAGCCCGCCTCACTCTATACATGTTCCCTAGACTTTTGTACAGCTGTAACCCTACGGGGTGAGTACGGTGATGACCTAGCAAAAGTGCCTTTTGTTTGTGGCGCCCAACATCAGCCCCGTCACGACTCATCCCCCCGGACACCAACAGACCGAACAGCTACGTTCCACCCTTCTGAGAGGGTCACAGTGTGAGTGAATAACCAATAAAGGCCGGGGAAGCAGTCATTTGTAGAAGCTTGCCGAAAAACACCTTTACCTAGACCAAACTCAGTCACCTAAAGTCTCATCTTACCTCTTGATGCACATGACGACTGGAGTAACCGCTAACTGATAGGCCAATTCATTCCACGGTCCTACAATTCTATTCCAACCCGAAACGTGCTGCTACGTTAAGTGCGCTTCGATTCCATGGTGACATAGGTTGCGCCAACAGATGTGCGGGGACCGTGCAGTAATAGGATCACTCAGTCAAATCACGAAAAATCGTGTTGGACTCAGCGGCCAAAAGTTCATAGTTCAAATACAAAACACCTGACATTTTCAACACAGTGTAAGATTTACCGCCGTTTTTTATTCGGAAAGCAAAGAGCCATGAAACTATAGCGGTGCGTGCTACCATGGTACCAAACACCATGTATATAATTTGAGTTTAGTTGTTCAGCCAATGGCTGCCTCTGAGCCGCGTTCACCGTACTTAAGAACGAGACTGTACACGGCAACTGCGTGGAATAGCTTGGTGCTTGGCTGTTCTACCGATTTGTTTGGCATGAGTAGACTGCAGTAACAAAACGAGATAAGTGTACGAAGAGTAGGATGGTGCGAGATAGAAGATAGTCCCTCAGGTGGCGTACACCCTCTACAACCAAAGATGAAGCCGCAGCGGGCGCTCCTCATCGTACACAAGAAATGGGATTATAAACTCATCGAAATTTCCGAAGTCTAGCTTCTCAGCTATAGTTTGGCGCGTGAGAACACCACACTTGACTGGCATAAACAGCTGTCCGTAGATCACTAGTCCCATGTTACACTGGGATCCAGAACCCTGAGGCCCCGATCACTCGCCTGAGCCGCGCATGCCTAAGCGTGGTATGGCTCATACTCGAGGCCACACAGTAACTTTGGATCAAGTGAAGGTTCACCAAGTCCTAAGCGGCTTACTGTTAGATTCTTTTAGGTTGTGCCGAAATTCGTAATGTACAGCACGTCGCTTTGCCAGACAATACATATTCCCTGGAGATGTCACGCTGCCATTCCTCGCCAACCGTCATTCCCTGAGCGGTACCCCAAGGTTGGCCCGATACACTCATCCCACTAAATGACCTATGCTCTATCAAACCTAAAAGGTTTTGCTCGAATGCTTGACCGACTTCACTTGTGGATCTCACCGTGATGTCCTAGATGTGGTCAAATTGATCCAAGAATAAAACGTACGAAGCTAATCCAAAATCGATGGGGTTGTTTGCGTTTGATTTATGTGGTCTCAAAAGATGTCTAGTCGACATCAGCTACGTCTGCTGCTGAGAATTCTTGGCTCCTTCTGTGGACAGTCAGACGTTGCTCCTCAAAGAGGCGTCAAGAATGGGTTGACAAAGGTCGGGGAACGCACATACCTGATGAACTTAAGAAGTGCAAAACCGGTCGTGGGTAGTCGAAGCATTTCGATCAACCTTGTGAGTAGTTTTATTAGGGAAAAACAGCAGTATAGTTATATCAGAGAAAACGGAGTAATGATTAGCGCTAGTAAAAGCACATTTCGAATCGACTCAAACAGTGAACGATTGCAACAGTCATTGATAAACTCTCCGAGTTCAAAATCAAGATCGCAAACTAAGTGGTGTATGAATCAAGACGGATGATAGAAGCACGAAACATTCTAATAAAATGAAAGTTGACAGCTGAAAGGAAAACAGACAGTCGAAGATGAAAAGACGTTGGCCGCAACACACGTGCAGAGTAAAAATGACGACCGTCAGGGAAGTGCCTCGACACCCGATTGATTTGTCTCCTTTTATTACCCACATTGTTTGAATCAACGACGGTCGACAGTCAAGGAAATATCAAACTATTGTAAATAACAAAGCAAATCATAACAATTCCGGGAGTTTTTCACTCTCATGTGATTGTGAGTGGAATCCGTAAAACGGCAGGTCGAGAGGTCAAACAGAAAGTAGACTTTAAACACAGCAACATAAAACCGCCTATGAATGGAGACAGACAGACTGTTGGTCAGTGTTTGATAAGGCTGGGCAATTGACGCTCCGGAATCGGTTTGAATGTACGGCGTAACGGTTTGTGGGCGAACAAGCTCCCAGTCGAATTGTGCCATAGTTGCCAGCAAGCGGGACAAAAGTAACGGAAGCATTCGAAATCTCGACAAAAGTATATTCCCGGACTGTTCTGACAGCTATTGCAGAGCGAATCTTCAAGGTAGGGGTCAATCTGAATGGTTTTTATGAACTTTGATGTGCGTATATCCACGAAGTTGGCTGTAACAGCTTTCAAGTAACTTTTGTAACTTGAAAATGCCACCCGTCCGGAACCTGAAGAAAGGGGTGCAAAGTGGAGTGACAAGTTGCTTCATCGATTACCTGCCGTAATCAATCAAAATCAATGAAAATGTCCTCATTTTCTCATACTTGCCAGTTCACCAAACATTGTTTGTTTTGAACAAGCGAAAAAATAACACTCAAACTACCACAAAATGCTTGAAAGTACTGTGGTTTTGATGTTAGCATCACGTGACACACAAGCGAGTGGACAACTAGTAGTGGAACGGTTACGCTCACCAATCGGGTACTTGTATTTGTCGGTATCGAGAGCGGCGAAAATCACGTTGCCGAAAAGATCATTCATGATGGTAACCAATGCTTCTGCAGTGATCATGCCATGCAGTGCACCAATGAAGACTGTTCTCTTTGTGTCTGGTCTATAGGGACCCGATTTGGTATACTGGCTGTCACTTATCGCCCAAGGAATGACCTGTGAAATGACAGAATGGAAAATAATTGACCTCAGTTAGGATGGGTTTGAAATTTCTGAAGCATGTAGCACCTGCGGGTATCTACACATCCCACGTGGACATTTTACCAACAAGTTCATCCAGAGTAATGACAGATGCTGTCAGCTGATATCAGATGATACCAGATGATTGTTTGTAAAACGCACGCAGGCTCAGAAAATGTTCTGTGCTACCGTTTCTAGGACTCTCAACACTAGGACTGTGTTGAACAAAAGTATCATTCGCTTGTGCTTACTTGAACATCTTTTGATCGAAAGCGCGAACTGGAAATTGTGTAGTAATCACCTCCCCTTGTTGGGTCCCGAACGCACGCGTCGATCAAATCGGTCACAGACGATTCGTGATCAAAAATGAGATAACAGTAACCTGGAATGTACAAAACGGCAAACAAGGTTCTTTACTCATTGGAAACCAAGAGAACTGGCCCATAGAAACAACCAAATATTACCATGATGAGGCAGAGGACCCATGGGGCCTTCAGTCGTGAATAGCCTTCCGGGCCACGCTTGATGCGACGGCAAAGCGAACACAGAAGGACTAAATGGTCATGACCTTCGGGGGTGGTCGCCAGTGAACTACAAACACTGCATATTTTGTCGCCAGATTCCAAACGGAATAGTCCGTATGGAATTCACAACCTTGTCCATAAAGTTCTCTTGAGGAACCTGCTGGTTCTAGTTTGTTTTCGTAACTCGTATGACAGTTGTTCGTTCAGCTGTGACAGGGAGAAATCACACCCGAAATATCTATCGAATGGACCAGTGTGAGTGACTGTCGGCTGAATAGCTAAAAGTCGAAAATTGAAATGTACCCAGCCGTCCACATTAAACTGTTCATGCATCTCAGAGGAATCTGGAAAGTTTATCCCAAATTAGTTTAGAGAATGATTTGCACATCATGGAGAGACTGCCGCCATTAATGGTAGCCCTTTTCGCTTAATTCTTTATCTGTGATTTGTCAGCACTTCAGATATCAGCAACACGATTGCATTCTACTGTATGCAACGCCATTAATAAATGAAAACAGCAGTGAGACTGGATTAGGCTAACCGTAAACAATACGGTCCCGTTTGAAGTGCGCGCTGTTCACCCCGGCCCAACCCAACTCGGCCTCGGTCACGTGGTGGTCCGATCAATTATGCATCCGCAATACGCTACTTTGACCAATGCAGCAGCGAGTAGTTATGAGGAAATTAATGGCCTAGCGTCATTACGACATACCTTTTGGTGATGGGTTTCGACTTCGAATCGCACTGAATTGGGTTGCATCCTGTTGGGGCCACGACACTGTCACATTTCCAAAACGAGAAAACGCCATAATCAGATCTTCACTGGTACTATCCCATGGAACGCCACCGAGAAAAACTTTCCTTGAAAACGCCATTGAACGACAAACCCGAACAGGTAGCTTTCCTGACCAATGGTAAGCCGCTTCTCTCCTCTGTGCAAGGGTACCTTGAAAAAGTAACAAACTTTTAATCGGCCCACATCCAAAAGGATTCTTCAAACAAAACACTACATCGGAAACATTCCAGTGAGTTCGTTGTTTCCGGAAAACTTGCTTAAAAAACTTAGTAACAGTAACAGGCGATTAGCTACTGTGAAACTCAGGGGAGGCACGGTAGCGGAGAAATTGCCAGTTTGCCAAAACCTAGAAAAGAGCAATGGAAGAGCCACAGCCGGCTTCGAATCATGGAATTTCCCGTTAGTATTTCGGCCCCATAAGCGTCGAGCACGTATGATTGTGTCCTCATGGGTTGAGTCATTGTGCGTACAACCAACTAATGGTGAATCTAATAAGGGAGAACAGTGACTGCTATCATAATCAAGAGGTGAACAGATAAAAACCCCGCATGCAACACAGGACAGGCAATGAAACGACTCACATTACCCCTCAAGAAGTGGGCCTTCATCTGTTGCACTGCAAAACCGCATTGTAACAACAGAGAACCGCTTCAATCTGTGTACTAGATAGATAAATCCCAAGATGAGGAAAGCCAACTCAAAAAAACGTAAGTAGTTATTTGGAGTGAAATACACGACTCGTGCCAACTAAACCCTCAAACATCCGGAGATGTTCAGCTGGTTATTACAGTTCTTTTTTGTAAATCGTACCCTCATCAGCGTCGTCCGGGCACTGTTGTTCTGATCAGTCCTTACCAGAGAAAAACAGCGCCCTACTTGGCTTTCACTCGTATCAGTGCTCAAACGTCACTTCTGTTCGAGCACTGATCAATGCACAACCTCAGCTGTCCCAGGATTGGTCATCCTCAGATCATTCACCCTAACAATTGTACTGGAACTGAGCTGGGTCAGTAGTAGGAAAAATTCAACTAAATTTCTGAAGGCAAGCGCCGCAAGAGTTAGAATGTCCAACTCACTTGCTGAAGTGCGATAGACGTTTGCAGCCCGTTCAATATCACTTTCTAAGGAGCACAGAAAACGTTTATACGGTTCCGCTAGACGTGCTATTTCTTCATTCAGGTTGCTGGTAGATGCCATCGCTTGTTGAGTCAGATTTGGTACTATGCCGTTTTCATTGTACGAAGATAAATTGAGCTGGTTCACACTGGAAGTTCGCTCCCGTAATTGTCTGCACCGATTTGTCATTGCTGTTTCCTGTAGACCCGCCAATAAGGCTGAAAGTGCAGGAGCGCAGCCAGTGTCGTTTCCAATACATTGTCTCAGTTGGTTATTGAGCAATCCGAGGAGCTGGTCCGCACTGGTGCCCAACAGTCCGGCTAGCATAGCTACAGGGTTGGTTGTGCCCGTTCCGGAGTGATTCACTGGTCTTGTGCTGTGTAGATCTGCGTTATTGCGGGGCGGTGTACTGGCTGTTGGTGGATAGCACGTTGTTACGGACGAATCGACTCTGTTAGGACGGTCATTTCTTTCCAACAAAATGTCTTGTGTTTGTCCGACACAGCCATCCACAGAAGTGCCAACACCTGGTGGTTGATAGCCAGGCCCCCTCACTGCCTCATCCAGACTGACTTGCATGGGTGTTGTTTGTCCCGATCCCCTAAGACTGGTGAGTTCCGTCTGAGGTTCAACACTTGCTGACGGTCTGGGCGAACGGTTTGCAGGTAAAGTTGGTCGAGACAGTGAGGAGTTCGACTCAGTACTCCAATTGGGACGCTCCTGTTTGAGTTCTGCAGGTAGGCTGCTCGCACTGAAGACCAACTCGGGAAATTGATTGGCCAACAGACGAGTCAGTAGTTCTTGGGTTGCTGTGCCCATTCCAACTGCAAAGCAAGCAAAACAAGTGATTGTTAGCTAGCGTAATCTTCTGAAAAAATGAACGAAAAATTAGTCTTCACACTTGGTTGCACACTAACTACAACATGGCTGGTCGTCATCATCATCAATCATCAAACAACCATGATTTATTTGAAAGACTTATAGTGAGGAAAAGAATGAAAGTGTACAGAGAAGGGACTTGGTGCTAACTTACTACACTCATTCAGGGAATCTGGATAGAAACTGACAACAAGATCGCAGTCTCCAACCAGGCGCAGCCAGGATCACGCGGTCCCCATTCCGGCAGGCGAATAGCACCGACTGCACCCAAACGTTTCGGGATTTCTTTCATACCCCTCTACCAAGTGGAGGGTTGGTCATCTCTCTGAGTTCGGTATGAAAAACAGCACTCTTCGGCAAACGATGGTTAGGCATACACAACACATGTCTCAAACAACGCAGTTTCTGGTGCTGGGCACGTTCTTCAATGGAAGTACCCGTTACACAACCGGTGCACAACCGAAAACT